TAAAAAGCTCGCCGTAAGCACACTCGAAAATTGTCGCGACAACAAATAAACAGGTGAGTTTCATCAATCGAAAGGCAGTTTTGCGACTGTACTATAACACGTATGTATGTACTCACGTAACACTCGTTCTCAATTCGTCTAGATTAACGAAGATTGCGGCATCTGAGCCGAGTGCTCTGGCCCAGATACGGTGATCGCGTGCCGCCATGTTCACATATCGCATGAGCAATATGAAAAGCGGTAGTCGTTCAGAGAAAATAGAGATACGCAAGACGATAGTGACAGCTCCCGTCGCTGATTAGTTTTTTTTTATTGCCCTTGTAGGCAGAACGAGCCCATGGACTTCAGCAATGCCAGGGGCAGAGCCAAGCCACTGCCTACCGTTGAGTACTCTCCACAAGCCTCGTTTGAAGAAGGACAAGTCATAGCGCTCGGGGAACACCGTGGAGGGGAGCTCATTCCAAAGCCGGATGGTACGTGGCAAAAAAGATCTCTGGAAACGCGCTGTGCATGAACGCGGTGGCTAAAATTGATGTGTGTGAAAGTGGCTAGCATAAAGATTTGTTTACGAATCTTTTTTTTTCCCTACCTAAGCTGATAGCCTTGAGAGGCTATTTCAGCGGAACTTTAACTAGTAGGTGAGCTCACGGGGCTCAAACCTGACGACGATGCTAACACGAATCCTACCAAGAGCCGTGCTTCGCAGAATCTACCACCGGATCGGAAACGCGACCCGTTAAATATCGAACGATTAGTCAGCGACTTTGCCGACAGAAACAGTTTAAATTCTGTACCATCGTCTTTTTTTTCATTTAGGTACTCAAAAAATGTTAAAAGTAAGATGGCCACTTTTGATTCTATGCGGCTGACATAATATTTGGTATAGTCTATGCAGTTCCTAAATAGGTATAGATATATATCAACATATACAAACAAAAAAAACCCACTTTTGAAACCTCGTATGTATATTATGAAGTCCAAGGTTGCTTACAAAACGAATTGCATTACACATAATATTGGACCCTCATGTTTGTTCAACTTTGGAGCCAACGTTGGATCGCACTTGGTTTGTGTCCTACTGACATTGTATCGATTACCACACTATAGGTATGTTTAGAATAATTTGATAGGTATCGTTCATATTGGTAGCGTAGATGGGAAGAATAACTTATGGGTTTACTTGATATAATGTGGTCCAAGACATCATCTATAACAAACGACTTTAAGACATAAATAAGGTTGAAGCCTTTTTTCTTACCTAAGCTAGTAGCCTCAGAGGGCTATGTCAGCGTTACTGAGCGAGTAGGTCAGCTCACGGGGCTCTAACTTGAGGATCGAAGCCTCAATCAGACAAACCAGAATGTTTCGCAGCAGGAATAGACAGCATGGTGGTATTTGTCATGCGGGATTACGTGGCAGTATACTGATATAATGTTCAGAGTTTGCTGTTGCAAATTCTCAAGTGACTTCTTTAGTAGCTTTTTACGACACTCATAGAAATAGACGAAGCTGTATTAAGACTCCACAGAGCCAAGAGCAGGTATTGTCATAAGAGAACTAGTCAGTTGTATCAACTAACTAAAGGGATACCGCCTTATTGATAATTATTATGTTTTGTTTGAAAGCGGCTGAATATTTGAAAAATCATGCAAATATGATTTTTGGCAAACATGCATTTATGATTGTTTTAATAATATTTATTTAATGATATGTAATTATACTAAACTAGCTGACCCGGCAGACTTCGTAGTGCCTCAATCGATAAATAGAAGACCTAAACTTTCGTATGAAATAAACATAAAACAAACAAAAGGAATCCGTCCGACGGGACACACCAAAGGAAAAACAAAATTGTTTTTTTTATTTAATTCAGAGTATTTTAATATTTATCTACCTTTTAAACCTTATTTGGACTTCCACAAATAATTCAAGACCAAAATTAGCCAAATCGGTCCAGCCGTTCTCGAGTTTTAGCGAGACTAACGAACAGCAATTCATTTTTATATATATAGATAGATAGATGTAAACGGAAATTTGCGTTGCTCATTGCGTTGCGTTGAGTTGTTAGAATAAAATATTTGCAAAAAGTGAAACAAACATTGCAAGATACTTTCGTTTTCAAATATTTCTCGTTCAACTAACGTCACGCGAATAGGCCTAATAAAAAAACACTTTCCAACACATACAATTTTGACATTGGAACTGAGAACCGGGTGCGGTAAAACTTGTGTAGCTTTCTATTTTTTTTTGCATATATTACGAATACATGTTGTATAATCGAGGTGAATCAGCACATTTGACTTGGTCGAACTATTCTTGCGAAAATCCGGTAAATTATTACAAAATTTCAACGGCATTTATTTATTTTCAACCTTTGGTTCCAATCTTGGTGACCAACGTCATCGATCGACACCAATTCTATATAAAGAGTTCATGAGAATAATTATTTAGAAATGCGGTAGTCATACTAATATTATAAAACTGAAGAGTTTGTTTGTTTGTTTGTCCACTAATTTCAGGAACTTTTTTTTTTTATTGCTTAGATGGGTGGACGAGCTCACAGCCCACCTGATGTTAAGTAGTTACTGGAGCCCATAGACATCTACAATGTAAATGCGCCACCCACTTTGAGATATAAGTTCTAAGGTCTCAGTGTATTTACAACGGCTACCCCACCCTTCAAACCGAAACGCATTACTGCTTCACGGCAGAAAATAGGCGGGGTGGTGGTACCTACTCGTGCAGACTCACAAGAGATCCTACCACCAGTGATTACGCAAATTATAATTTTGCGGGTTTGATTTTTATTACACGATTTTATTCCTTCACCGTGGAAGTCAATCGTGAACATTTGTTAAGTACGTATTTCATTAGAAAAATTAATAAAGAAAAACTACTGGTCCGATTTGAAAAATTACTTCAGTGTTAGATAGCTCATTTTTTGAGGAAGGCTATAGGCTTAACATCACGCTAAGACCAATAAAAGCGGAGCACTAATAAATAATGTTTCAAAATCGTTTTTTTTAACCTTTTGAGAGCTTCTGCTGTGTGCGCTGCGGAAACGGTTAAAGTTTCGCTGAAATAACGTATGACAAAATTGTTCCCCTTTAAAAGTTTTAAAAAAAAGTCCGCGTCAGCATATATCTATATTTTAAGGCTGGCTCACTATAACGTTTTTTGCTAGCCAAGTTTGTTCTAAAATAAAGCATTATTTGTGAAGGTATTTTACCTACCTCCTCTTATAACCTCCACTTTTTAAGTCGGTTAAAAAGCGTGATTTTGGTACCTTAAATAGTTCCTTTACATTCTATTATTCAAAAATATTTTCACTTTCTACTTAAATGAAGTCAAAATTTAGTGTTATGCCAAAGTAACTATTCCACGCGGACGAAGTCGCGGGTAAAAATTAGTTATTCTAATAAATGACCGTGTCAATAATAAATAATATAAACAGCTGGTATTATACAGCAATACCAATATCATCTCAATCTTGAAACAGCTTGCAGACTACTATGTTTAAAATATTAGTGAGCAAAATGAGCAGGGACTTGAGTGCTTTGTCGGAAAAAAAACAACGTAATTATTTTGTTATAGTAAATCATGGTTGTATACTCGTAGTGTAAATTAGGACCGCACCTCTGTTCTGTTTTCGTGGGTGTTGTAAAAGGCGACTAAAGCAATCACCAAAGAAGGTACAGCAGTATTCTTTATGTATTCTATCAGTATACTGCAACAGCCGGCTTGCCACGAAGGGCTCGATGAGCAAATTAACTCATAGACACAGATCTTCTCAGTGGGTCGCGTTTCCGATCCGGTGGTAGATTCTGCGAAGCACTGCTCTTGCTAGGGCCAGTGCTAGAAACACTCCGGTTTGAGCCCAGTGAGCTTACCTACACATTAGGGCGAAGCTGAAATAGCCTCTCAAGGCTATCAGCATAGGTAGGAAAAAAAAGATACAGCCATCCAGCATTTACTGATGGTAGATCATGTTCTGACCTCGCAACCCAGCCGGTAGAACCTTTTCCTATCTACTCCTGCCGCATAGCAATCGTGTTTTGTCGTTTGAAGGATGGTACCTATAGTCATTGTGTAATTATTGCTATTCTTCAGACTTCACCCTCTTTCGTAGGGTGCAGTTATGTATGGACTGGACGGTAACAACTTGATGCCAAGAGTACTTACTGAGAGCTCGTCCCAATAACTACAGGAACAAAAAAAAACATTTTACTTTAGAAGATTACTTTAGAAAAAGTTTTTTTATTATTTACAGTTTTCCGGAATTCAAAATGTACTGGCGTGTGAAATTTGCGATCTCGAGGCTACGGCGTGAGTGATAATAAACTCGGTTTTTGCTGTAGTTGGTATTTTTTTAGATCTTTAGGTGGCAGACCCAGCATATGATCCATCGGGTCACTGCGAACCAAGCCGGAAAACATTCCACGCTTAGAGTATACATAAGCAAGCATCTTTATGTATACTCAAACCTTAAAAACTCCGCAACATTTAGTATTGCTTAAACCCCCTTGATACTTTCTAAGAGACTCAAAGCTTTGGGATAAAAGTTTACAAAATTGTAGTTGATGAATTGCTCGGCAATTATTTATTCTATTGAAAATATATGCTGAATTTTCAATAGAATAAATAATTGCCGAGCAATTCATAAACCAGTTCGTACCACTAAGTCACCTAGACTTCATGTTACAATACGTACATGCTGTTGTTGTCTCGTATTTATCACAATTATGAAAATTTAAGGTAATACTTGTACAATTTTATTTGGTTAAATTTATGTTGTATAAATATATAATGGTGGCTATCTAGCAGTTGCAGATGAGTGAAAGTTTAAAAGTGTTGAGAAATAGAACGAAAGCGTAAAATATGGATTCTAGAGGATCCCAAAGTTAAACACAAAGTTTGGTTAAAAACCTTAATTGCCAATGGCCGTGAAAATAGATTGTGTCAATACTGTCAATGTCAGAAAAATAAAATTGAGAATAATTTCGCGGTAAAAAGGCATGTTATTTGTTAATTTGAAAAGCACTATAGCGTTAACTGTTTGTGATTTGTTTACATACGTATCACTTAATATTTGAATATAAACAAACATGTTAGTGGAAAACATTACCTAATACAAAGTGTACCAATTTTAATTATATTCACACACCATATACATTCACAAAATGTCAAAAATATTGATTATTTTTTTAAGTTTATAAAAACTTGAATAACTATAAAGAGTATTAGGAGCATATTCCGTAAACATTACTAAGGAATCCAAAAAGATTAATTTTAATGAAGGCAAAACGTATTTCATTATTCAGCACAAATTTTTGTTTGGTACCTACTAGTTAATATTTCACAAGTCAACTTGAAAAATTGAAATGGCGAAACAAGTTGCTGAAGTAGAAATACATGCTTCAGACTCCCAGGAGACCCTTGTGGACGACAATCTGGAGGTCAGCGTGGATCTGATTGACAAAAATCTTTATTTAGGTGAAAATCTAAATTATAAATAATCATTCAAAATATTTTTTCTATGGTAAAAATATGTAAGAAAGTGGACAGCTTTCATACACTTCGACTTCATTTTTTCAGGCCATTCCCGCATGACATTGACCACATTTATGTTCCATAATCATTTATGATCAGATGGCATATCCACAAACCCTGAAAAATATTATATTTACAATGTTCTAATAAACATGCTAATATACTTACCAAACTTATTTATTTTTAAACATACAATAACAAAATAACACAAAGGAAACATTTTTTAAAAAACACTTTTTATCTTAATGGATCAGACATAAAAATGTTATTGATTTATTAAGTAAAGTAAAATGATTCAATCATTAAATAGTTGTTCCATATAGTTATCATACTTATGAGTCCTTAGTCTCTTTATATACAAGATTAAAAAATATTTAAAATTGATGGTCTATAAAGTGTACTCTTATGTTTATCATGCCTTGTACTCTTATTGTGGCTGCTTAGCTGACTTAGGTATAATAATGTATTTGCTTCTACTTATTTTTTCTATAATATGTGAAGAAAATCACACAAAATATCCCATTGATATGATTCTTTCTGAAATAAAATATAAATCTATTTTACATTTATTTATTCAATTCTCTGATTACATTCCAGGAAACCTGGCATGTGCACACAGTCAAACGACAATACAAACGCTTGGAATAACTCACATCTTGACAGTGGACTTGGTTCCTTTACCGAGGATTATACTAGAACGTCCTCATCTCATATTTAGATATGTGAAATGTAAGTGCATTGTAAAATTGTAATGCAATTGTAAAATATTCTAAAATTGCTATATGTTAAATGTTAATCAAATCTAATAACATTTTAAAATATCCACTGGGTATAAGGAAACCATTTCTTACAAAAAAAAACAATAATTTTTGATATAAAAAAACTTATTTTACTAATGTTTTTCGAAGTGCACGCACTATGATAAAAATTTCAAATTTGCTTCGATTAATAAATTAATATTGATATCTCATTGTATTGACATTGTATATTCTTCTCTTAGCTTTGGACATCTTTTTATTATGTATATTATTTTACACCCTGAATATGAGTAGAAAAATAATAGCAACTATTTGTAAATTTGATTGATTATTTTCTACTACTGTGGACAAATAAATAGAATGTAGTGGCAAAATTCTACCTCTTATTAGGTACTAAATAAGAATATATTGATATGTTCACAGTGGCTGATGTGCCCAAAGAAGACTTAATAAGTCATCTTCCCACTACCAACAATTATATAAGTGAAGCCATCGACAGTGGAGGAACTATATTAGTGCATTGGTATGTATATCTTGTCGTGTAATGCTTGAAGCTACAAATACTTTCAATGTAGGTAGCTAGTCATATTCTCAAAATATTTCATAATTAGGCCTACAATCAATTCCAACTTTTGAAATTGTCGTAGCCTAATGAAATACACATCAATACAAAATCATGAATGACTTCCACCATGTAACAATAATATCATCTAATACATATCAATAAAATGAAAAAAATATTGGATAGTTACTAGAGATAGGGCGACTTGTGAGCCTGTAAAGCTAGCTACCACTGCCTTGCCTATTTGTGCCGTGAAGCAAGTACATCAGTCAAGAAACATTTGATAGTACCGACATGCACATTGGTACTTAAAAAAAGAATACAGATTGGAATGTCTTATCCCAAAGCTGCAATCTTCCTTCAAGTTTTAACCACTATCTTTTATTTTTTAGTTATTTTGGTGTATCCCGTTCAGCAGCTGTTGTTATAGCATACATAATGAAGAAGTACGGGCTGTGTTACGAGGAAGCCTTCTCGTTGGTCAAAAACAAGAGACGGTTCATTGGTCCAAATGTAGGATTTGTGGCACAGCTCAAATTGTATGGGCACATGGGATGTGCGATTAACAAAGATGACCCCAGATACAAACAGTTTAGGTTGAAAATGGCAGGCCAAAAGTTAAAACAAGGTATTACATTAATTTTTAAGGTGCGATAAGCTTCATCCCTCCCTATAGTATATACAGGGTGTCCTACAATGTGTATATCAAGTTGAAAAAAAATTTTTTTTTTCATTGCTTAGATGGGTGGACAATCTCACAGCCCACCTGGTGTTAAGTGGTTACTGGAGCCCATAGACATCCACAACGTAAATGCGCCACCCACCTTGAAATATAAGTTCCAAGGTCTCAAGTATAGTTACAACGGCTGCTCCACCCTTCAAACCGAAACGCATTACTACTTCACGGCAGAAATAGGCAGGGTGGTTGGTACCTACCCGCGCGAACTCACAAGAGGTCCTACCATCAGTAATTACGCAAATTATAATTTTGCGGGTTTCATTTTTATTACACGATGTTATTCCTTCACCGTGGAAGTCAATCGTGAACATTTGTTGAGTACGTATTTCATTAGAAAAATTGGTACCCGCCTGAGATTCGAACACCGGTGCATCGCTCAACACGATTGCACCGGACGTCTTATCCGTTAGGCCACGACGACTTCAAGATACTACAAAATACTGGAAAATTCTAAATTTTACTACTTAGTAGTAGTCATACAAAACCAAATTTATGAATTAGTTCAACTGTTCCATCAGAGCTCTGAATTTATACAGAAAAAGTACTGTCAAGTCGTAATACCTAATTAATTTGTTATCTACCTTATTTACATATCTATATCTTGCAAGAGGACAGAAAAACATTGTTCAATAAAAAGCCAAACGTAATGGCAGGGTGTACTTTGAGCTCGCACTAATTCCCAAACAACCGTTACTGCCTATTTCTGTCATGAAGCAGTTTTTTTTTCTACCTAAGTTGATGGTCTTGAGAGATCATATCAGCGTCACCGGGCGAAGCAGTCATGCATTCCATTATGGAGATTGTTTCAACTATACAAGTGTGTCTTTGACGTCATGTCGCAAGGTGGGTGACGTCGTTTACGTTTTGATGTCTATATTCAGATGAGATATTTAAGGTTACACATTGGGCATACATACATTTATTCTGAATTTTTTGTGTCTCATGTGATACATGCCGTGAAGCAGTAATGCGTTTCAGTTTGAAGGGTGGGGTAGCCGTTGTAACTATACCGAGACCTTAGAACTTATATCTCAAGGTGGGTGGCGGCATTTGCATTTTAGATGTCTATGGGCGCTCCGGTGACCACTTAACATCAAGTGGGCCGTGAGCACGTCCACCCATCCAAGCAATAAAAAAAAAAAAGTGTATGTGTGTGCAAGTCACACACAGTAGAAGTGAAACTTATAAATAAGATATAGATATAGATATACTGACTATCCCACTACACAGGAACATACAAATGGATAATGTTTAGTAGACGATAGTGGGGATGCTACGAAGAGTCGCACAAAGAGGAAACCGAGAACGTCTGATGTGTTCTATCTCGTTCTCTCGCCGGCTGAATCCTATACATTTATGTGTTTGTGTCTCTATGGACTTATTTTTTCGTTTCATCGAGTTTGAAATCACAACGATTCTAAAGAAGTTACACTTCAAAAAATTGTGTGATTGTAGTGAAGATCCTGCCGCAAGTGTTCTGGGAGCTGGTGAAGCCGGACCCTGGCGTGGTCCGCGAGCGCCCCTCGCCGCACGTGTACCGCTGCGTGCGCTGCCGCCGCGTGCTCGCCGCGCACAACAACCTCATCCCCCACCTGCCGCGCCCGCTCAAACTGCAACTCGCCAAGAAAGGTACACCCTGTATCGGGGGCTCAAGCTCGACCCTTACCCGTCTCGTGTTTAAGTAACTTTGTGCCTACAGCACGTCAGTATTGTCTGTATTATTTATATATTAATAAGTGAAGCAAAAACTTTGTACACCTTTTTACGAAAATTGCGCGGACGGAGGAGTATGAAATTTCCCACACTTATAGAGAATATAGAGAAGAAGTGCAGAGTGTTAATATTTTTTTAAGGTTATGCATAAAAATACATTAAATCAATAAAGAAAACATTACATACATTACCATGTACTTGAGATACACACACATATATGTACACTATGCTTATTGTCAAGCTTTTGTTATTGCTTAAAGTCTGCGGTCTAATTGAGAATAGGTTATTCGGTAACTTTTTTTTTTATTGCCCTTGTAGGGAGACGAGCACACGGCCGACCTGATGGTGAGTGGTTACCGTCGCCCATGGAGTTCAACAATACTAGGGGCAGAGTCAAGCCGCTGCCTACCGCTTAATATTCTCCATAAGCCTCATTTGAAGAAGGTAATGTCATAGTAACCCTGTATCGGGGGCTCTAGCTTGATCCTTACCTGTCTCGCGTTCAACCACTTCCACAAAGCTGAAGTTATTGATCTACGTTATTAAACATAATTCCTGCTATTGTAATGAATTCCTACCCTGTACAATCAATATCTCAAATGAACTCTTTGTCATGATGTTCCCTCAACGTTCCTGTTCAAAGATATTGTTAGACGGTTCTATTTGAGGGGACTCGGCTCTGGAAGTGAGGGGCTATTTTAAATCACTGAATTCATGGTTAATATTTTTTTTATTTTTTTTTATTGCCCTTCTAGGCAGACGAGCATACGGCCCACCTGATGGTGAGTGGTTACCGTCGCCCATGGACTTCAGCAATGCTAGGGGCAGAGCCAAGCCACTGCCTAAAATATATATTATGAACACTACACTATTATAGTAACCGGCAAACTTCGTGAGCAAATGACCTTGACTGCGCAGAACCGAATTTTAGATCACTTTGGTGGTGAGGGTGAGGCGCGACGGCAGGGGAAATCGTATCGAGCGCGTTATTGGTAGATCAGTCGAACCTTGCGTCCCGCACTGCACCCTCGTTCCGCTTGCTCCCAAAAGTACGCTTGCGTACAGTGAAAAGTCTATCGTTATTAATCGTTAAGTTATTTGTTATAATTGTTTGTTGACTTTGTTGCCATTGCTATTTGTTGAGTGTTTGTTGATTTTTTATAAAAAATACACTATGCCGCGACAAACTGGTGTAGTATTCAAAAGAAAGGGTAGAAAAATTGTGTACGACGTTCATTATAAAACAGGGGAAGAATGATATGGAAAAAGTAAAACAGACTTCGGAAGCAACAAAAACATCCGTGAGTACTGTTAGGTGCATTACTAACGAAGCTAAAGACTCTGGCTTGCTTGCCGTGTTTCGGACTCCGGGTAAGAAAAGATCAGGGAAAAAGAAATTTACCGGAATGGATAGTTTCGTTCAATCTGTAATAAAAAGTTGTAATCATAATAACTACATAACAAGCAGCGAAACTCCGTACCGTAGAAAGGCTTCGAAAAATTTAAAGAAGATATAAATTTTAATGATTCGGTATGAAGTTTACGACGAATTATGAAAGAGCTAGGCTTCAGATGGAAAAAAAACAGAAAATAATCGGAAGCTGGTAATTGAAAAAAGTTACATTCGATTACTACGAATCGAATATCTTCAAAAAATAATTAATTATAGACAAAAAAGTAGACCGAACCGACCGAGTTGTAAACTACACCGATGATCCCTATGTCGACTCATCACGANCCGGCCGTTAAATTGCTTTTTCGGGCCTTATTTTTGCAACTTTTGAATACACACTGCGGTATTGTGAGACGGGTTGACATTGGCTGTGTTTGAAGTGAACTAAACAAAATAAGAGCTCACATTTCAAGTGCGCTGTTATTTGACGAGACGGATTTTATGCACCGACCCGAAATCTAGTTACTATTGTTGATCGAAGCTTTACATGTGACAAGTGCTGCCTGCCTTTACTTACACATTCAAACTCCAACAGCTATGACGGATATTAACCTCCGTTTATGGGTGGTGATAGCCACCAAATATTGAAATTGCAGCAAGTTTGTCTGTATTCTGTCCAAACAAGCTTTTGTTTTAAATCTCATAAACCCAAATAAAATTAACATGTTACATACTCTTTAAAAGGTATAAGGCCTCCTCCAAGTAAACTGACGGGTTTGACCTGCGTTGAAAACGGAGAGATCCTGATACAGAAGTTGAAGAGCCTCGCCTGTCAGATCCTCGAGAGCGACGAGCAGGCTGACGGGGGACACGGCGGTGACGAAATGGAAGGAAGCAATCAGGTATTACACTTGTCTTTGTGCGGACCAGGGACCACATAGTTTAATGCTGAAGTAACTTGTTGAAATACTGATATTATCATAATGAACAATGCTGCTTGGCCATCTATATAACATCAAACTGTTCTAATCGTCACCTCCCCATTCATACTATTGATCCATGGTTCTCCTCATTCATTTTTGAAGTGAAACTTCTTTAGAATCGTTGTGATTTCAAACTCTATGAAACGAAAAAGTAAGTCCATAGAGACACAAACACATAAATGTATAGGATTCAGCCAGAGAGAGAATGAGATAGAACACATTAGCCGTTCTCAGTGTAGTTTTTTTAATACAGCGCCATCTATGAGATTTTTTAATACTAACGTGCATATAAAACCTTGTAGTGAATTTTAATTTAGGATTATACGTGAAGTTAAAATATCAATTCACAGAGGGCGCTACCTCATACTATAAAAGATGAATTACAATTATTTACTAATGACAAAATTCTACATATACTTAGACATAGGATAATTGTATTTTCATTTTTGAAGGTTTCACTTCTACCACGTGTGAATTGCACACATGTTTTTTTGTATATCTATTCTCTACTAATTACGTTTTTAGTTAAAATTAGTGGTGAGATGATAGTGTTGTTTTTGTTTTTTTTTCCTTCCCTATTTGCTGGTAGCCTAAGAGGCTATTCCAGCTATGCCCGGGCGGGTAGGTGAGCTCACGGGCTCAGCCTGAGAGAATTTGTGTTACACTAATCCTAGCAAGAGCAGTGCTTCGCAGAATCTACTACGCAACACGGATCGGAAACGCGACCAACTGAGTAGATCTGGCTAGAAACTCAGTGGGTTGGTAATGTTGTGTTATGAGTGGCTTGATATTTAAAATGAAATATGCGTGGTTTGTGTAGCACTCTCTATGAGACTAGACTAGAGTAAGCAGACGAGCATACGGCCCACCTGATGGTGAGTGGTTACCGTCGCCCATGGACTTCAGCAATGCCAGAGACAGAGCTAAGACGCTGCCTACTGTTAAATATTTAAAATAGTACAAAAATGATAGTGACTGGCCGTAACACTTAATACGCAAAGATTATTAATATGATGTTATACAAATAAATCGAACAATCAGTTTTTACTAATTATATAATGTTTGGATTAATAAACAATATGTCCTAGGAGTTACTGGACGGTTACAACGAGCAGAACCTGGTGGACGGCAGTATAGTGCCGCGGGAATGCGAGACGATATGCCGGCAGATGTGGTTCGTGGAGCCGATGGCGTGGATGAGTGACGTCACGCACCAGCCCAGCGGGAAGCTGCACTGTCCCAATTGCAAGAACAAGATCGGGAGCTTTAGTTGGGTTATGGGTGAGGTTTTTTTTATTATTATCGCCTCGACGACGAACTCGAGATCTACTTGACCCTTAACTTCGGAATTATAATTTTAATTCACGTATTTTAATCAATTTGTAGGAGTGAGGTACTACTAACCTGCGTGCATTTCTCTATTCCGGTCAGAAGGATGGTATAGCCATATTATAGATGTAATGAGTGGCAGCTTTCACTATATGATATTTATGGGGCTAATTAATTACATATTACTATGTGGAATTTCAACACGACAGAAAATAACTGCATTAGCATTTGTAAACTATTAGAAAACTAGAAGTAGTAGCTTCTCTTTAAAGTTGAACGTAGTAAATTATGATTATTTATTTCAGGTTGCAAATGTCCGTGCGGTCAGAAAGTGGCTCCAGCTTTCTATTTAGTACCATCCAAAGTGGAGAGATCTAATATAGTTCAAAACGTACAAACCACTGTATAAAACGTATAGTATAGTTTTGATTTGCTAGTCAGAGCTACAGACGCTTAAAGCATTATTCTCGACTCTCTCAGCATGGAAACGATAAAAAAAAATGAACAAATGGCCATTTGTAATCTTATGTAATACATTTCCAAAATGTATCAGCTTATAATAAAGAAAAAAAAGACTTTAATCGCTCCCTCATTATTGCGTTTAAATATATATTTACTTTAATATTACGTGTTACGTTGTTTGTCCGCGATGGACACCTAAACTACTGAACCGATTTTAACGTTTTTTGTTCTAAATATGTGTTTTGTTCCAGCTTAGGCCATAGGATGTTTTTTATTTCGATTAATGGTCGCAATATTTATTAATTAACAATAAAATGATTTCTTATGTTGATTATTGTTATTAATTAAAAGTTTCATAAGTCTAAAACAGGTGGCGCTTTAAATCAGTTTTTACAGACAATTGTAATACTGTCTGACATTAATATCTCATAAATGGCGCTGTGTTAAAAATACCTACGATTCACATAAGCTATATTTAATGACATAAACCCCGTGTTGCGGAGGCTAAAGTATAAGTGACTTACTTTGTTAATTTTTGATATTAGCATAGCCGACTACGTGTTATTTAGAAACAAAAACCTTGTGGCCGGGTCTGTTAGTTAAAATTTTAAAAATATATTATGCAGCAAATAATTTAAAACATTAAAATCAGAATTTCAGATGTATTTTTTTTTCAGTTAATTTCATGTCTTTGGTCATACGATATACATTCCGATTTTAGCATGTCATGCTCTCCATAGCTAGCCCGGTCCTCTCTAAGGAACAGAAAGACATTTTAAACTACATTTTCAATACGATTATAATTCTCAAAAACTTTAAAAGATAAGATTTAAGAGCTTTCTGCTTGTTAATTAGAAAGTTATTAGGATTAGAAAATTTCATTTTTTAAGAACATCTAAGACAATATAATGAGTACTAAAGTTTAGTTTAGTTAGTTATAGATATAGTTTGAAATACTGTAACGTTTTAGTATAGTTGTTGAATAAAGATCATGAGCAAAATGGAAATAGATAAACTAAAAATATGGTCAAGATTTGGTGAAAAAATCTGAAGCTTACAGTAAGTTCGAACAAAAGTATTTTTGAGATAATATTGTGTTACTCTATGTTACATAGTGTAGTGAAAAGTTTTAAAAACTTACAAAGCCAATACATAGCAATACATAAGTGTATTAAAATTTCTTATTAATATTACTAAAATTATTTTTGTCTGTAGTCAAAGTTAATAAATCTATTTATTATTCCAAAAAATGTTTCATTTCAAAATATTTGTTAGATGCTAAAATAATCATGTTAATAATATGATATTCTAATTTAAAAAATATAATATAAATTTAATATTTATATGTATTTGAAGACATTAAAAGACCGTGTTTTTAAACAAAAAAGGTAAAATTTTATTTTTCTTATTATTTAAATACATAACATATTAATGTGTTTTTATTAATACTGTTTGACTAGATTTATACAATGGAATGTACATAGTTCATTGTTACTAAAAATTGCGCGAGTGGCAACATACTTAGCTGCTATTTTTATATTGTATTTTCATTGAATCTTTCGTTACCATGGATATTAGATAAATTTATTTATATTATATTATTTGTATATTTTTATTGCCCTTGTAGGCAGACGAGCATACGGCCCACCTGATGGTAAGTGGTTACCGTCGCCAATGGACTTCAGCAATGCCAGGAGCAGAGCCAAGCCGCTGCCCACTTAAATTTAATATTTGGGAAATTATAAAATGCATACAAATAAACTACGATATTAACCCAGGACAGTAGTTTAAAACGTAGAATATTATTGTAAGGCCCAGATATTAGTTGAGGGTCCTGCCATCTCTGCGCATGCGCGGTATGTCGTGCAGAGCGAGTCTGTGCGCGCGCATGAGATGAGTCTTCCGTTTCCAGCTGTCGGGGAAGGCGCGCGCGCACCCCGGGCACTGGTACGGGAGCTCCCCGGTGTGCGTGCGACGGTGCCGACCCTGGAATAACAACCGAGCGATAGGACCACTGTCAATGAACACAAGGAATATAGGAGGAACATATTATTAAGTGTTGAGAATTAGAACGAAATCAATGGAGCTTGCTTGCAGTTCATTGTTTTTTGTTTTATTTCAGTTTTCAGGTTACATGTGGTACGTTCTCTATGTTTTAATGGGCAAAATAAAAAAAAATACTATTATGCGACAGCTGGAGTCGGTCTTTAAAAAAAAAACAAATTCTTTCCTACAACACAGACTTTTTTTTTTAAATAAGTCCTTTCCTACATCCCTGTTTTATTCAGACAACGCTCACAAAAATTTGGTTTAATCACCTCTGTTTCTCGATTCCCTTTATTTTATTTTGACTCTACGCGAAAATACTGAACTGGCTTTACTGCACTGTCTGACTGACTGTGACAAGCGCCCACGAGGCCGCCTCGGTTTTTATATTATTCTACACTGCTTGTCTATTGTCTACGCAAATTAGTGAAGTGATGAAAGAATATAACATGTACTGCTTGTTCAGCGTAATAGAAGGATATATATGAGGACGTCAGCGCAAAAGTGGCCTAACCCGCAATTTTTCATAATCATGCTTATAATTTATTTAAAATATGATAAAATATGATCCAAAATCCATAGTTTCACCCATAGATAACAGATGGCTTTGTAAACATTATTTTTGTGCGTATTGTTTTGCCTTTTTTTTATTGCTTAGATGGTTGGACGAGCTCACAGCCCACCTGGTGTTAAGTGGTTACTGGAGCCCATAGACATCTACAGCGTAAATGCGCCACCCACCTCGAGATATAAGTTCTAAGATCTCAGTATAGTTACATCGGCTGCCCTACCCTTCAGACCGAAACGCATTACTGCTTCACGGCAGAAATAGGCAGGGTGGTGATACCTACCCGCACGGACTCACAAGAAGTCCTACCACCAGTTGCCTACTCAAATTCAAATTCAATTAAACCTCATTGCTCCATAATAACTATGGTAAGCTTAGGCCACTTTTGCGCTGACGGCCTCATGTAACATTACGCACCAGGGCGCTGGCGTCGTAGAATCCCTTCCCGCAGTGTGCGCAGAGGTGCGTGCGGGTGCGTGCGTGCGCGCGCGCGTGGCGCCGCAGCGAGGAGCTGGCGGCCGCGCGGAACCCGCACACGCCGCACGCGTGAGGCTTCTCGCCCGTGTGCGAGCGGATGTGGACCGCGAGGTTGCTAGCTGTTACCGTAAATTCTTATAATCTATTGTTAGTGTGTACAAATTCCCTTCTAGAAGGACTATAATTAATGCAATTGTATTTTTATTTTTTTATTGCTTTGATGGGTGGACGAGCTCACAGCATTTTCGGGAAGAATAGTATAACTTAACAATTGATAAATCTTAAATGTGTGCGTAGTGCGAAAATCTGATTATCTCTTTCGCACTCCCGCTACGTCAATTAACAGGCCTCTTTTTGTTATTTACCTATTGATAATTATTGACTCCGGCCATCACACTGAATGTTTCAACATCGTTGTTTCTGAAGGATTTTTTTTTATTGTTTAAATGGGTGGACGAGCTCACGGCCCACCTGGTTGTTCGGTGGTTACTGGGCCCCATAGATCATCTACACGCTAAATGCGTCACCCACCTTGAAATATGAGTTCTAAAATCTCAGTATAGTTACAATGACTGCCCCACCCTTTAAACCGAAACGCATTACTGCTTCACGGCAGAAATAGCAAGGTACAAGGAAATAGGTGGTACTTAACTGTGCGGACTCACAAAGACGTCCTACCACCAGCATTAAAAAAATATTGTATAGTATGGGTCTTTTAAAAAACTAGCAGTTTATAGCAATTAAAAACCCTGCATGTAGTTTATTGGGAAGTATTCCACATATAAATTTTAATAATAACATCTTAAATTATAGTATTTTCTTCGAGCGCAAAAGTCGTAGTAGTATTTTAATTATTTTTACAGTTTAACCTTGCATTTATGATTTTACATTACTTCCAATGTTTCGAATATGAATCAATAACTATACCTTGAGCAAAACTCCAGCCACAGTATGAACATAGGTACTGTTTGTCACTGTGAACTTTCATGTGACACTTTAACACACTTTTCAATTTAAACCTGGAAATAATAAAACAACCAAAATTACATACCATTACATGAGCTACAGTAAGTTTGAGGTTCAACATCCTGTAATATAATTACTGATCATAAGTCTTGTGGATCCCAACAGGTAGATACTACCGTACTGGTCATTTCTGCTGCAAAACAGTAATGTGTTCCAGTCTGGTGGGGCAGATGTTATGCTATATAATTGAAGCTAGTTCTAACCTAATATCTCAAAATTGGTAGTGTTATTAATGTGGTAATGTCTTAACACAATGTGAGCGCATGAAGCTTCTCATTGTTTGAGCACAACACTTGTGGAAATTTCAGCAGTCTCTTGGACTCCCTACATAATATATGGAATATTCAACGACACTGCAGAGAATGCAACCCCAATATTGTATTGTTTCCTTCTTATCATCGTCTTATTTCTCATTATTCAAATTCAAGACTAATTATCATTAAATTAAATTATTGAGAACTGTGAATGTGGTTTATGTGGCCTCTTCGAATCATTTAATACTAAGAGGTTGTCAGCCTCAGTACTGGTACTACTAAGTTAACAATTCTTATTTACCTCTTGTTACAAGTTTCACAAGCGTAAGGACGTACATCTGAGTGTGCTCTGAGGTGTGTGGTCAGCTGTTTACGACGCTTATATCTCTTTCCGCATGTTGAACAAATGAATTTGCGATCCTCCGCATGTGTTGTCATATGGGACTTAAGCTGTGCGATCTTGGTGAAAGCTGAAAATGGTTCAAAACATTGTTAATAGACAGGTGGTACATTTTTAAACCACATAATAAGCATGAAAACTCTATAATGTAAGTTTAAAACATAACAATAATATTACACATTAAACATCAGACTAGAAAGTATGTTCAACCCGGTAGACTGGACTTTTTGTGACTGCCACGTACAGAATGATAATTGAAAATTCTTACAACGCCTGCAACAGATATTGTGTCTGCTGTTTGAGATCTCAGAAAATAATGCAAACATCAGTGTTTCCAGAAGTTATTTCTTAATGTCCATAATAATATTTGTAAAACAACTCAACAATTTTTGGATGATTCTTGATATATTGGTATGCCTTGTCAAACATATGGCGCCAATCATGGAATTCAACAAGTTAAAGCTTTAAGGCTAATCAACACGTGTTGGTACTTAAGCAATATGTTTGAAGACATTTAAGTTAAAAACATGAGTTGAATTCATAATAACAAGTTTTCTGAACTATTTGTATCTTACTTTTGGAGCACTCATTACACATGTACTTCTGGCCATTATGTTCATTAACCATGTGTTTGTTGAACCAAGCTTTAGATGTGAATCCTTTATGGCAAACGGGGCATACATTTTTCTTTTCTTCTACTTTTATGTCTTTTTTTTCTTCACAAACTGGTTCTTGATGATTATTCAATACATTTTGTTCTGGGACTTTTTCGGGCTCACTTTCATTAAGATGTACGTAGTCAAGAGCATTCAAAATTATGTCACTGTAATTTTCGATCGTACTACTTATCTTGCATTCAGGTAAAGTTAGGCGACTCTCTAAGCCTTCGGTATTCTTCAGATCTGGTTGCACGGTGATGACTGTGTTGGTATTTGATATTATGTTTTTGAGAGTTACATTTACTTTTAAAGCTTCCGTGATGAATGTGTATGCTGATTCTATTTTAATCGTGCAATCGTAACAAAACTGCTTTGGTAAGGTGTCTCCATCAAATACCTGCAAATTTGAATTATTTTTTTTTAAATAATGCAACAAATTTCATTAAACAACAGGGCGTTTTTTTATTACTTTCTAGTTACTAAAAAGCTTACTTTTATATTAGTACAAAAACAAAACATTTCCACAGCTTTTGGATCGAAGTTCTCTCTCTCCCAGGACGCTACTTCTTTCATGCAACTCCTACATAACAGTGATAAATCCATTTTAATAAAAAACTCAAATTATTAAATAAATACAAATAAGTTATTGAGCTAGTTTAGAACCCGTTTTGTAGTGCGCTTAATTAAACATAAATAGTGCGCGAACTGCGCGACATTTATATTTTGAAAATTTTGAAATATTCATTTGACACACGATGTAGTAGCAGTTCTATTTTTCCAATTGGAAAGGCAAATATATCAGACCATACAGCCTAATCTATTATTTATTTATTTGTGAAAAACGATAATATGAAGTGAAATAAAATGAAGTTGATTAATTTGGAGCATTTAATAAATTAGCATGAAATGAGATGAGATGATATGGGATGAATTATAATCTCAGTAAAATGGTGGTCATTTTCTGAGACTTTTTGGAGAATTCCGAGAAGCTACGTCTAGCGGCTTTGTTTGAAACTCGATGTTTTTTTAAATAAGTAACTATAGATAATACACTGAATTTTTAAGATTAGTTAATGTTTTTGTCCAGAAGAGGCAAAAGAGATATTTATTGATCATACACCTAATGAAGGACTATTGTCTCTTGAGTGGGAATGAACTCTCTTCTCAATTTTATCCTCTACTAAATTTTTGATAGCCTACGGGTCTGTTTCAACCATGCACGGACGGGTTACGAGCTCAACCTGAGAAAATTTTGCGAACACTAACCCTAGTAATAGCACTGCTTCACTGAATATACTATCGGAATCGCGATCTACTGAGATCGGCGAGAAAATGATCTATGGGCTATGGGCTAGGTTGAACATGACGAATTTACCGAGGACGGTGACCGTTGCTTGGAGATTACTTTTACCGGCTTTCTGATGCTGTCTTCAGATGCTTACGTATCAGTTCTAAATGGAGGTAGGCAATCGTGAAGATAGATTCTTCACATACCACGCTACTCTGATGGCTATCCTGCAGAAAGGGTATGGAAATCCTCAAGATTTTTTTTATTTTTTTTTATTGCTTAGATGGATGGACGAGCTCACAGCCCACCTGGTGTTAAGTGGTTACTGGAGCCCATAGACGTCTACAACGTAAATGCGCCACCCACCTCGAGATTAAGTTCTAAGATCTCAGGTATAGTTACAACGGCTACCGCACCCTTCGAACCGAAACGCATTACTGCTTCACGGCGGAAATAGGCGGGGTGGTGGTACCTACCCGTGCGGACTCCCAAGAGGTCCTACCACCAGTGATTACGCAAATTATAATTTTGCGGGTTTGATTTTTATTACACGATGTTATTCCTTCACCGTGGAAGTCAATCNGGGGTGGTGGTACCTACCCGTGCGGACTCCCAAGAGGTCCTACCACCAGTGATTACGCAAATTATAATTTTGCGGGTTTGATTTTTATTACACGATGTTATTCCTTCACCGTGGAAGTCAATCGTGAACATTTGTTGAGTACGTATTTCATTAGAAAAATTGGTACCCGCCTGCGGGATTCGAACACCGGCGCATCGCTTCAACACGAATGCACCGGACGTCTTATCCGTTAGGCCACAACGATTCAAAAACGAAGAGAGCTTAAACATGCATGGGCCGCGTGAGCGAACACTACACTTGTATAAATCATGACAGATCTTCTCAGTAGTAATTGAAAGTGGAGAATGAAATCTAGTACATAGTACTTTGTGGTAAAAACAAAAAAGAAATTCACTGTGACTTCAGGGCATTATTAGGAAGGAACTAAGAAGCCACTATAACCTACCGCTGTCCACTTTACCTAAAATGTATTAGACTATTTGTCAAATATTTTCTTTTGTGAATTAATGAATGTTTCTTCGGGTTTAAACGTGTAATCAATCATTCAGTAAACGTTATAGACACCGGTATACTATACCCACCAATCGTTCATTGATTTACAACCGACTAAAATTGATATCTCATTACACTTTAAAATATTTTTTTTGTTATTCAAGGAATAAAAGTTAGGTTCTCCAATTTATGTAACCGATGATCTAGTTCCTATATTCATTATTTTGTTTAAATAAAACACAATATTCAACTGTGTAGTTTTATTTTAAAATTTTCTGTGTTCCCGCACGCGCGTGTCTTGATTATTTATTAACAGTCATTCATACCATAGTTAATATAATTATTAATTAAGTTAATACGTTGCGATTTGAAGGGTGTGTTAAATATTATCAAACAATACAGACGTGTATATAAGTGTGTGTGTACCAGCGTAAATTTCCTACTTAAATATTTAGTGTATTATCTATGATACAGACTTTATAGACAGAGTACCAAAATGTCGTCATGTCTCAAATACGTTGATTTAATAACAATAAAGTTGAAATGTTTAAGGATTCTGGCCACAGATGCACCGCGAGATTGTCTGCCCATCTACGACACTAAAAAAGTAAAAGTAAACAGTTTATATGTTATTTTTTACTTGTCCCTTAAACTTTAAGTTCGGTTTCTGAGCACCCAATAGTTCTATTAGTTTGTCAATGCCTTCGCCGGTTAGTGGAGAGGCTTCCAGTAGCGTGATTGAATTGGGCAGTTCCTTGCAGAGTCTTGTGTATTGCAACATCAGTAGAGCCTCGTTGCGCATTTGGCGATAAGCAGCATCCATTTTACTTAGAACTAGAATGAACTGTAACGAAATAAAACTTTTATTATGTACTGACACAGGAAATACACAAAAAACACCCTTAATACGTTTATGAAGTCGTCGTGGCTTAAAGGATAAGACGTCCGGTGCATTCGTATGTAGCGATGTACCGGTGTTCGAATCACGCAGGCGGGTACCAATTTTTCTAATGAAATACGTACTTAACAAATGTTCACGATTGACTTCCACGGTGAAGGAATAACATCGTGTAATAAAAATCAAACCATAAAATTATAATTTGCGTAATTACTGGTGGTAGGACCTCTTATGAGTCCGCACGGATAGGTACCACCTCCCTGCCTATTTCAACTGTGAAGCAGTAATGCGTTTCGGTTTGAAGGGTGGGGCAGCTGTTGTAACTATACTGAGACCTTAGAACTTATATCTCAAGGTGCGTGGCGCATTTACGTTGTAAATGTCTATGTGCTCCAGTAACCATTTAACACCAGGTGGGCTGTGAGCTCGTCCACTCATCTAAGCTATAAAAAAAAACGTAAGTATTTAATTTTGTCTATATCTAGTTTTTTCAATGATCTTAACTATTGCCGTTTAGGAAATATTATTAGTAATTATTGGCTTTATTGTCAAGAATAATTCACAGGTTAATGTGAGAATATGGGTATGCCAATTTTTATATATTTTTTACAGAGGAAGAATTTTAATGGTGGCCCGAAGCCTTCCCAGTTTCACCAGGATGGGTAGACGAGCTTGGTCACTCTGCAGGGAGTATAAGATTTCCGGTTATGTTATCTGTGTGTTTAGTGCAAGTTTATTAACATTATCGATAGCGTAAAAGTTAAGTCACATTTGTATGGAGTTGGAACGTTTGCCGCTAGGGGTGCTGTTCTAATTGCATACAAAGAGCTAACGGCTCACTGAATTTGACCCTCAATTTGGGGGGCCAAATTCAGTGAGCCAACTTTTACGCTATCGAAAACGTTAAAAAACTCGCAGTAAGCACACTTCTTAATAATAGTAATAGTATGGTATTACCATCATGGCATCGATCTATTTTTTGACTAACTATAGCTATTTTCCATTCTGATCGCAGTTCATGTCATTGTCATGTCATAATTGTGAGAAGTTCTTTCGACCCCCGAATCATCATAATTTGGAGCAGTGAACAATAGGAATATATCACAAGAAAGTTTGGAAAAATCACTTTAAATACGATACAGGAATGCTTAAAAACGCTTTTGACGCACTTCTTTGCTATTAGGGTTTAAGGAATAACCAAAACTTATTTGTTAAAATGGTACCTTCGTATTTTTGAGACGTGGTTCAGCTAAAAGCGTGTACAACAGCACAGTAGCTTCAGAAATTTGACACAGATTAGACGTGTCCACCACGTAAATAATCTGTAACATTAAAGTATGAAAATCATATGAGTGGAAGTGGTTATCGGAGATCTTGAATGTACTTCACAACGTGAATACCGCCTTGAATTTTGATAGTCGAAGTAAAGTATCAACCATCAAAGAGGAATGCAAGACTGTTTTGCAGCAGAAGTAGGCAGAATGGCAGCTGACACCGGTGCTGTATTAGAAAACGTTGCCTACATTACGCATGCACCGGTTTTGTCGGTCAGCTGGCAATGGCCGTATTTACTAGAGTTTTGTTAACAAGTGCGTTTATACTGTGTAAAGATAAGTCATACAATTATAAATTCGAACATTAACGAACAAACGACGAACAAATAATTAAAAATGAAGAATTTGAAAATCAAAAAAAGGGGGGGCTAAATTCACCGAGCCATTTTGAGCTCATTTATTTTTAAACACAACTTACTTTTTCAACTCCATCTAAATAGTTATTCCATAATGGCGCCATCTCTCCGCCCACTTCGCGAACTGACAACATTTGTTTTTTTCCATTTTTATTTAGATAATGAATGTCGTAAATATTCGTTCCTATCGTCGGAACAGGACTGTATGTGTAGTCTATACCTTCAGCGTGTTCTAGTTTTTTCATTAGCGTAGTCTTTCCTGAGCCTTTTGGGCCTAAGCACAGTACACTAATTTTCTTATCTGGCTCGTTCATTGTACGTTAATATCAAAGTAAATAGGTTTGTTAATAGGTGCACACTTAATTAGCTAAAGTGCTTGGACTAAAATATAGAACATTTTAGTAGTAATGGCCAGTGTTGTTTTATCAATACCTTGTGTCTTAGAAACCACTATTATAATGTTTTTTGCTATTGGACAACAGATGTCGCTCTTACATTAGTCTGAAACCTTTGGTTTTTAGCTTACAAATCTGCTATTATCTGTTATTACTCTAAAAGATATGTATTTGTGATAAAACTGAGACATAAAAGAGAAACAATAACTATTGTTAGCGTAAGATTAGAAAGTTCCTGCCCTAATGGTATGACTAATACCTACCAACTTTGTTTTATAACGGTAATGCTGCTTTAAAACAATATTGTGTTAACCACGGAATAGATAAATAAGGTTGGAAAGGCCTTTGCTCTAATTTTGTATTAGAACCAGTGTCGCCGCTTCATCCCCACTATTTTAATTTCTACACATACACACACTGTGATTACAAGTATTTCGCACACAACAAAAACACCCACACATAAATCTCAGGACAGATATTCGTTCGCAAACTAGCACAAAACACCCGTAGGCATACACACTCACACACGCAAAAAGGCAATAAAAATGTTCATACACGCTAGTGCTTGATAAAATCGATATTCTTTATCGATAAATTATCTGATGAATGAATGGAGAAAATGAAACATGAAATAAATATTGAAAAAAAAAACTATTTTACTTTTATTAATTACAAATAGTCACTGTCGCTGGAATAAAACGTATTTGTTAAGCAGTTGGCGCTTGCTATTAATTGCGAATGAATTTTTCAAAACTAAGTGTATTCTGATTTTTTTTATGATAAAATCATTTTCAGTAAAATGTTTAGAGCAAATAGTACTCGTCTTTGTCTCCAGTTTCCTCTACCTGTCACGTCAATCCATTGTTCCCTGGCGTTAGGTTCTTTAGGAAACCTAAAATTTTTAATTTACTGCATAAGTCAAATAGCATTTTACTTAGATTTTAATACGTCTTAGACAATATAGTAAATACCCGTAAATTAGAGGTCTACATGTCCCTTTATATTATACCTTCACTTTAATTCAATGATAATAATTCAATAATAATAATACATATTTATTTTACTCAAAATACGTCTCACTAAGAATATACTAGGTATCATTAATTAAATATAAAATAATGCAAAAATTATCCATGTCAAATGTAAATATAGTCGAGAATTCTGTCGATGATTTTACCACATGGTCACCTCACTATCGACAAACTGCACGGCCAATCAGGGCAAAGGCCGAAATTTCAAAGATTGAAGTGTAGAGAACGCAATGCATGTAGTACATTGGAAGCTGACTTGGTCATTGCGTTCATTGGGCGAGTACACATCGCGCAATGTATGCTATTTATAACTTGCTGCAATAATATTGTTAATGTTTGGAATTTCATAATGCTCAGTATATTTTTATGTTTTAGACAAATAATATTGTAATTAAATGGTAATTTCGACTTACCGATCGAAAGATATACCTCCTCGCTCTATACTTGAGGTCTGATTTTTTGTTTTACAAGTTATAATTGCACAACACGGCACTATAAAGCGGAGATCTGTTCGCCAAGTAGTCCGAAGCGCACTAAACGCGGTGAATGAAAGAATCGGTCGAGTTATGTTTGTTCTATCATAACTGTGGCACGCTTGCCCCGCCTACATTACCATTCCAACCTTATTTATCTATTCCGTGGTGTTAACCTACGAATGGTAACAACTTTTGTGAGGAGGCAAAGTACCTGAGACAAACGATTTCTGGACAACGATTAATTAAAAAATAGTTAATAATTAAAGACTAAAAATACACGCTTCAATATCAAGTCGAACTATTAACTTCGAATTATCATTTTTTATAAATTTATTGCAATGGCGTTACAGTAATATAATTTTAATAAAATAATGTCATCGGTTTTTAGTCTCCGCCAACTTCCAAGATTTGAAGTTGGTGAAAATTACTTTGAATGATTCCGTGAAATACAAAAAAACAAACAGACCAAGCCAATAAAAGCGTATTAACATGGAATCCGTCAAATTAATTAATATTTTGAGTTCGTTTAATAAAAATATTAATTTTCTTATTTCCATAATAAATAATACCGATAATACCAATTTCTTACTGGTGGTAGGACCTCTTGTGAGTCCGCGCGGGTAGGTCCGCCCTGCCTATTTCTGCCGTGAAGCAGTAATGCGTTTCGGTCTGAAGGGTAGGGCAGCCGTTGTAACTATACTGAGATCTTAGAACTTATATCTCAAGGTGGGTGACGCATTTACGTTGTAGATGTCTACGGGCTCCAGTAACCACTTAACACCAGGTGGGCTGTGAGTTCGTCCACCCACCTAAGCAATAAAAAAAAATTACTTTAATGTACCATGAAATGAGTAATGAAAACAATTAATTCATATACATCAAATTTCCGAAAAACAAGAACTTTCGTTTCACAACTGTGGTCAGAAAGTGATTGAAAAAAATACAAGACATAATACAAAAGTGTCAATTATGATTATTATAATCGTTAATAAATCTCGAATTATAATATTATATCGATAATTAAATGTGTCGATGACGGAAGTGAAGCACTTGTCTGGTAAGCTCAAAATGGCGACCGTGAATTTAATGAAATCAATTTGAATTGTCACACAGGTGGTTTGTCAATGAATATTTTCGGATTTGAGGTCGTACGAAGGCGATGCATACGAAATCTTGTCGACCTTAAACTTGGATTACGTAATTTTTACAGCTCAATGCCACTGAGCCAAGACATAAGACTGCGTACAGCCACAATGAACTATAATATAATTAGATTTTTTCAATAATTCATGATGATAAATTATATGACTTGTAAAGTAAAGGATATCAATATATATATAACTAGTCAGGTCATAAGTATTGTCACACAGTAAAAACTTTTCTTTTAGAATGCTGGCCACAAAAAAGTTTATTGAATTCGAATTTCGAATTGTTCATGAAAATAAAAATGTATACTTTTAGAGTTTTACTCATTTTTAAATATGGAGTGGATGCTTAAAGAAGACCGTGTTGCAGTTATTGCGTTGCATCGTTGCGGTTACGCGCCAATTCAAATTTTTAACATACTGAAAAATTTGAATATAACCAAAAGATTCTTTTATCGTACCATCAAACGATACAATGAAGACTCTAGTGTAGATGACAGGTCAAGAAGTGGTCGCCCTCGGTCTGTTAGGACTCCAGCAGTGATAAAAGCTGTGAAGGCGCGAATTCAAAGAAATCCCAAACGTAAGCAGAAACTGTTGGCCCTTCAGATGGGGTTAAGCAGAACCACGGTGAAAAGGGTGTTAAATGAAGACTTAGGGCTTCGGGCATATCGAAGAAAAACAGGACATCGTTTGAATGCTCGTCTAATGGACCTGAGACTGAAGAGATGCCGCGCTTTGTTGAAGCGGTACGCGGGAAAAAAATATCGGGAAATTCTTTTTTCGGATGAAAAAATTTTTACCGTAGAAGAGAGCTACAACAAACAAAATGATAAGGTGTACGCACACAGTAGTGAAGAAGCGAGCAACCGTATTCCGCGTGTCCAACGAGGTCATTTTCCATCCTCGCTCATGGTATGGTTGGGAGTTTCTTATTGGGGCTTAACAGAGGTACATTTTTGTGAGAAAGATGTAAAAACGAATGCAGTTGTGTATCAAAATACAGTCCTGACGAACCTTGTGGAACCTGTTTCTCATACCATGTTTAATAACAGGCACTGGGTATTGCAACAAGATTCGGCGCCAGCTCATAGAGCGAAGAGCACACAAGACTGGCTGGCGGCGCGTGAAGTCGACTTCATCCGGCACGAAGACTGGCCCTCCTCCAGTCCAGATTTGAATCCGTTAGATTACAAGACATGGCAACACTTGGAGGAAAAGGCGTGCTCAAAGCCTCATCCCAATTTGGAGTCACTCAAGACATCCTTGATTAAGGCAGCCGCCGATATTGACATGGATCTCGTTCGTGCTGCGATAGACGACTGGCCGCGCAGATTGAAGGCCTGTATTCAAAATCACGGAGGTCATTTTGAATAAACTTTAATGTCATAAGAATCTATGTTTTGTTAAGTTCATTTTGGTATATGAATGGTTACATATTGAATAAACTTGTTTCAATTATTTTACATTAAACATGTGACAGAATTTATGACCTGACTAGGTATTTATTGCTTAGATATAGACCGTGGTTACTGAAGACCATAAACATCAATAACGTTAATGCTGCCTCTCACTTTAAGATATGAGTTTAATGTACTGGTGTTAAGACCTCTTGTGAGTCCGCGCTGGTAGGTACCACCACCCTGCCTATCTCTGCCGTGAAGTAGTAATGCGTTTCAGTTTGAAGGGTGGGGTAGCCGTTGTAGCTATACTTGAGACCTTAGGACTTATATCTCAAGGTGGGTGGCGCATTTACATTATAGATGTCTATGGGTTTCAGTAACCAGCCATCTAAGCAATAAAAAAAAAGACTTTTACAGTCCAAAGGCCACCTCGCCGTTCAAACCGAAACTCATTATTGCTCCACGGCTGAAACAGGCAGGGCGGTGGTACCTACCCGCACGAACTCAGATGTCCTACCACCAGTAAAAAAGTTACGGTGTGACTTGAAGTTTGGATTAAAAACATAGTGTTTCCTTCAGTTTTCGTGCGTCGATTCTCTCCCGTTTATTAATGTCAATATATTATTTCCGACGTTTTCATTATAGTTTTCGAGATCACAGACGACCAAGATGTTATTTGTCGACATTTGTGCACATTGTGCTGAAAATTAATATGCTTATAATAATATACATAAAGTATTTTTAATTCTGTATGAAAACATTTTTTGAACTTTTGTTTATAGTAATCTTAAAATGAAAACGAGGTTCATGTTGTTTTAGCGAAAGTCAGCTTTCTTGTTCTTTTTGTAACCAGAAATCACTACG